CCTCTCCTTTGCCTGAGTCATTCAGACAATTCACCTCTATCATCTCCTCCAGCTCAGGTGAGCTAGAATTACCTTAACATTTTTACCAAAAACAAAGAGAATTATTAAAACCATTTCTAAATGTTTTAGAATTTTAAAAAGTTCTTAAATCGCAGTGATTACAGGTTTCTGACCCTAAATTGACAGAAGGTCTCTTCCAGGCCTCAGCCCCAATCTCTGGTCCCACCACAGAACGGATGGGACTGCCCTCTCCTGGAATCTCTTTCCCACTTCCTCCAGGAGGGCAGCTGGGGGCCAGCGGTGTGGACGCCCTGGTTGCCTGGCCAGGCACTCGTTCCTGGGGGCCTTGAGCAGCAATGCCCACTCCTCATTTCCCTGTACCCCACCACGAAGGGGTGGACTGGTTGACTGGCTCGGCAGACCTTTGCTCTGTCTTTGGGAAGGGTTGCAGGATTACTCTTGTATGATAGCAGGTTTCTATTCTTATTTATTTTTAATAAGAGGAGAGGCTGTTGTTTCTCTGTTTCCCCCCACATCTCCTTTTGATCTTGCCCCTCAGCCCTGTCCCAGCCCCAATTCTACAGGACTTTCTGACCCTGGTAGCCAATGGGACCCGTTTCTTCAGAGAAAGCCAGCTGTGTAGCCTTCTGTGGTATTCAGGGGCTGGTGACAAGTATGATATCTCCTGACATCTTCCCAGGCTTCCTCAACCTGTCCTCAAGGCAGGTCACTATTATCATCCTCAAGTGACCCTTTTATGGGTGTTTTTTCCCATCCGCTGAAGTCACAGTGTCGCTGGCCTCTTTCCAGACCTTGCCAACTGTGAGCTGCCTAGAGGATTTCAGCTTCCCTGAATTGTCCCACCCCAGTGCCTGAGAGATGCAGAGGTCCCCCAGCCAGCTTGGGGCTGTCACAGGTCAGGAGAGTAGCTTGGATTAACCATCCTGGACTCCGCTGAACATTTTATTAGCTACTGTCCCCATTTTAGGGGCTGTTAGCACATCAAAGCAGTATTTGTAGAGCATGAAAAAGTAGTGATGGTGACAGACATCAGACAGTAGATGTAGCTCCACCATGAAGCCTTCACTGGGTGACGGGGTAAGGGAGGCGTGAGGGGCAGGGTGCAGGAGAGTGTCACTTTGGTTCTTGACGATAGCAAAGGCAAGGTGAGATACAAATGTCCGCATTCCTTAAAATGAATTTGTGCATGAACACATGAAATCCTTGAGTTGGGAACTCTGTGAGATTAGGCTGTACAGTGCAGAACAGGCAAAGGATTGGGTTTTGGAATCCACAAGATCTGGGTTCAAATCCCAGTGTGGGCATCTGTGAACTGTGGGAAATTGGGCTTGTTATGGACTCTGTCTCAAAGACCTGGCTTGCTTCCAGTAGAATAAGGATTATAGTCCTGCTTTGAAAGGCCTGGTGAGGGGAAATGGAATCACATGTGTAATCTGCATGGCACAGGGGTACACTCAGTAAATAAGTTTTCTTAACCTCACAGGGCTTGTCCAATGTGGGGGCCCTTTGGAACCTTCCGGGCCACCCCCACTTGGAGGAAGCTGCTTTCTGGTCAGGGTGGTGCTTGAGTTGGTGCTGTCATTATGGTGACTACTTTATCCTGACTCTTGACTGTCTCCTACCAATGCGCAAAAGGACAGGCTGTTCTGTGATGCTGTGGCGCTGAGGCAGATTGGCTGCTCTGGGAAGGTGACTTTCAAATGTGGGAAGGGAAGGGGAGGGGAGGGGAGGGAAGGGAAGGTAGCAGGAGTGGGTAAAGGAAACAGTTGAACTATGATGCGGTTTCAAGAAAGGCTGCAGCCAGACCTACAGGTACTAGAGCTGGAATGGCCCTTCAGAGCTGCTCCAAGTTGGGCACGGGGGCCAGAGTGCTTAGGGAGCCCTTGGACTAGGTGGTTCTCTTCAAGGCAATTCCTGACGAGAACTAACATGAAGGCTGTGTGCCGGCAGCACTTTCCGAGTCTGGGAGATTAAGTCCTTCATCCTTTGCAGGAGAGTCTGGGGGGCACAGCACCGTACCCACTACCAGGGCCTTTCTACAGGTGCCAGGACATGGGCTAATGGCCTCAGGACCAGGAGCTCCACCTCTGCCTTCACCGAGGGCATCCACAAATACCTCGGGAAAATGCCAGGTTTCTGGAAGTTTCTGTGGCATTCCTGTGTGCTCTTTAGAACTTGGAGGTTTGTCAGACTCAGGAAACACATCTGTTCCCCTTCAGCTCTGACTTGTGAGGATTCCTCAGGCTCAGAGTAGTAGGAGAATCAGAGGGAGTTTCCCTTCCACCCCTAAGCCAAATGATTTTGCCAAAGTCTGGATACCCCAAAGGTTTCCCGGTACACTTAGGACAAATGCCAAGCTCCTTACTCTGGCCTTCAAGACCCTTCGAGGTCTGGCCTCTGTCTGCCAGACATCTCGTGTCAATCTCTTCTTTTCTTCTGAAACTCTAGAGCAGAGCTGCTTAAGAGAACTTTCTAGGGCCGGCCGAGTGGCGCGTTGGTTAAGAGCTGGCTTGGGACGCCAGCTCTGAGCAGCAGGACCCCGGTTCGGATCCCACATGGGGGCCAGTGACACTGCCCTCTACAGCTAAGATGGTGAACAACAGCTCGACCTGGAGCTGGGCTGCCATGAGTCACCGGTGATGGCGTAGGCTGCAGCCCCTGCTGCAGTGGGCTGTCATAAGCTACCGTGTATGGCTGGCAGCCAGCTTGAGTGGCTGGCAGCCGGTGTGAGCTACCAAGAGCCGCCGTGAGCGGCCGTCCAGTGGCCGGCGACCAATCTGCCTCACCCGGGAAGAGCGCAATGATAATACCAGCATGGGCCACTGAAGCAACATCCTCCACAACTAGAATGAAGAACAAAAAGGACAGCAACTTGTCTGTGTTCCCCTCCCCCAATTCCCCAATAAAATCTTAAAAAACAAAAACAAAAACAAAAAACTGTATAATTCTTTAAAAAAAAAAGAGAGAGAACTTTCTATAGTTATGAAAATATTTCATACCTCTGCTGTCCAATACAGTAGCCACTGGCCACATGTAGTTCAGGAACCCTTGAAATGTGGTTAGTGAGACTGAGGAACTGAATTTCTCATTTAACTTAAATTTAAATGGACACAGGTAGCTAGTTGCTACTGCATTAGACATCACAGCACCAGCCACATTAGGCCTTTTTCTGTTTCCCAGAAACCCAAGCTCATTCCTACCTCAGGGCCTTTGCACTTGCTGTTGCTTGTATAGAATGATGATCTCTTGGATCCTCTCATGCTGGCTCATTTTCATTATTTAAGTCCTGACTCCAACATCGTCTCCCCAGAAAGACCGTCTTCTACCACCCAAAGCATTTTTGTGTTTTCCCAAATTCTAGCCCCCCTTCTTTACATTTTACATTATATTTTAACTTTTCATAGTAGTTATCAATGCCTGGGTTTTTCTTACTTATTTGTTTCTGTTTATTGTCTATTGTCTGCAACTAGAAAGAATAACAATGTAAAAGCTAATGTTTATGTGGCACTTACTATGTGTCAGGTACCAGTTTAAGCACTTCATACATATTATTTCAATTAATTCTGACAACAACCGTATGAGGTAGGTACTGATTCTCTCCACCTTTTTTTTTTTTTAAAGATTTTTATTGGGGAATTGGGGGGATGGGAACAGTGCTGGGGAATTGGGGGAAGGGGAACAGACAAGTTGCTG